ATCATCTACTTTTCAGATTGTGAAAGTAGAGCAGATGCTTATTGATGCTGTTTCTCCTGTGTAATCTTGAAATTCTTTTAGTTTTCTGTTAAAATATAAGGACTTAAAAGCTGTAACTTGGAACAGTATAGTTAATGGGGAAATTGTATTTGATTATATAAAAGCTGATTAAAAGTTAGAAACAGAATTTGTGGTCTACTTTTTTCTTCAGTTTTTAATCAAGAAAATAAGACCAATATTTTAGATAAGCTTTCCTGCACACCTGTGAAGTATCTGCCCCAGCCTTCACTTTGAAGCAGAAAAATCTGTAAATTTCCCCAGAGCTGAATTACCTACCTCAGAGTGCATGGTTGCAATGATTGGAAAAAAAACAAAAACAAAACCAAAAAAAAACAACAACAAAAAAACACACAACAAAAATCCCAACAAAGTAAGTGCTACTAGTTAAGAAATAATTTTGTGTATAAGTGCATTTTATGTGCATTTAAATAGTTGTGACTTTTTCCTCTGTCATTTCCCCTTCTAGACATTGTTCCAAATTGAAGGCACAGCTGTTCCATGCCTTGCCTTTCCATGATGGGTGAAGGTACTTTAGCATAGCCTTTGCAGACAGACCTGCGGTGGTTCTGCTAGGCATCAGTGTGGCAGGAGATGTGTCAGCTGCTGTCCAAAAACCACGTTGTTTATTAGTGTGGCTCTGTGCTCCCATCAGGGCTTTGCCTTAGTGTGAGCCTGGCACTGTGGCAGTGACACTTTAGAAGGAGACCTTTGGGAAGCTTTTGGATCAGAGCTTGTGTACATCTGGTGGCTGGGAAAGGTGAGACCAGATCTACATAAAAGCTTGGGCTGATGTTTTGAGTTTACCACAGGTGAATCCAGCACAAGGCTGAGAGCAGTTCGTGAAGAAGAAACATCTGAATCTACTCTGTCTTGTCTGACACTTCAAAATGAAAGTCTGGGTGAAGACTTTCTTTGGGCCTTCAGAAATTTGGAGCTTCAGTTCTATATTGAGGACTGCACTTGCTGTTCTTGCTTAAACCCAGCTGCTATTCAAGCAAGCACTGTGAGAAGAAGCAAGGAACAGTCTGTGACACCTGAAATTACCAGTCTTAGAATTACCCTTACGAAGAGGACAAAAAAAGACCAGTTGTTTTGAGATCGGAGAACGGTAATAATGTTCACTGACTGATGGGATGACTTGTAAGAATTAAAACAGCTCAAAAAGTATAATTAGACCTTGTAAATGTACTTCTGAATTATAATTCTTATATTTCACAAAGCTGATGCTGAGGGGTAGGAGAAACTATTTTTCTTGGTACAAGGTAGAGTCATCTGCAGTGGAGTGCAAATGGGACCAAATTAAGAAAAGGAGAAATTAGGCTGAGTGTCAGGCAGTCTGAACTGTGAGAGTTATTTGACTGTGAAAGAGCTTCCCAGGGGAAATAATACAAGCCACATTATTTGGGACACCTAAAATTAGACTTCAGAAAGCACTAAAAAAATGTACAACCTTGCTGTGGTAGGGAGGTGGGCTAGAAAAGGCAGGGTTTTCCTTTTTTTGCAATAAATTCTGCTATTGTTGGACCCGATTCTGTTTTGTGATGTAGAAGTTAAGGGAAGATTTACATTACTTTTTGCCTGAGAAAACGAGGCTAAACACACAGGCTTCTCCCCTCCACCTATTGCCCACTTTTTAAACAGTAGCTTTTTATTTCTGCCCTTCAGGGGTAGTTCAGATCCCACTCTTCCAATTATAAATATGTATATTTAGAGGAGAGGACAAAGGGCGCGTGTGCCTTAAGGACCCTTTGTGGCATTTCCCTCTTGTCTGGCTCTTAACAGTCACTAGAACTGATCAGCATGACACTCCTTTTTTGTTTGTAATTCAGAATTTATTTAGCTTATGTGCAAATCCATAACCCTGGCATGTTCCGAAGCTATTGTCTGAAATTGGCAACCATATTTTAACTAGCAACTTGATGAGGGGCGAAGAGGCAAATGAAATATAGCCTTTAACCAAGGAATAGAGGCCTCCAAATAACATGTGTTGATATATTGAAAGTGTTGTAGTCTTCTCCATAATTTTATTTAAATACAAACCATGTAAGTGAGATAGGTGCAGTGATACAAAGGAGGTTCCCATACCCAGTCCTACATATTAAAATGTGTAGATCATGCAGTTATGACTAAATTTTAAGATCCTTTTTTTTTTTATTTTAAGTTAATTTGAAGATGCCTATCTTTATCTACATACAGTCTTTCTTTGCTATCTGTGTCTGCTTGTGTGAATGATAGCACTCCTTCTTCCAAAGCTCGCTTGAACAAATAGAAGCCTTACATGGAAAATGTTTCTTCATTGTGTAGATACTAGATGCGATCACCTTCACGCTGTAATAGTACTGCTATAAAAAACATATGAATTTGTGTACACAAAAACACACCGAGGTCAGGACATTGAGCCTTTGAATTTGTGATAAGAGACAAAGGAAGGCACATACACAGGATTTTCTGAAAGATAGTTCATTTGTGGAGGATTTGAAACAGCATGGGAGGAAAGCTATAGGGCGTCTCCAGTATTTCATTCAAGGGTTGTGGGTTATAGCCCCCCAAAATGCATTCTTCTCCTGTGTCACTGGACAAGAGGATTCAGGGTAGGGCAGTGGGATACATGCTGAAGCGAACACTTCCTATGCACTGAATTTTGGGTTGTAGATGGCCACACAGTTTCTGGTCCTGGAACTTAGGCTGTATCACTTGGAGGTATGGGTGCTGGAGCTGGTGAGAGAGGCAGTTCGAAGAGTCAACTGATTGCATTTCAGATTGTGACTTCTAAATACCAAGAGCCGATTCCCATTTCCTTTCTCCCACTGCTGTTCGCCTCCAGTGTGCCTTACCTCCTGCTGCCATGCACATGGTCTGCCACAGAAGCGTGGGTTGTATTTTTTTTTTTTTTTTTTGTAATTTGACTAAGAGCATATTTCCCAATCTAAATCCTTAATGAAGACAAAAGGTCTGTATTGCAGGGTAGGAAGATACTAACCCAAAACATATTATTAGCAGGGAAGACTCATTCTCCTTATGTCCATGTTTTTGAATGACTTAATTGAGGAAGAGAGATACCTTCTGATAATAGCTTTTTGCATAGGGCAAAAATGAGGGTGGAATGGTGGAGATGCTGTGATATGCCAGCTTTCTTGGAAAGCTTCATTAAGCCATTATTAAAGTGATTGTAACCAGTTCTATTACAGATCCAGAGTGCTTTGATATGCTAGTGCTTTGCGTAGCAATCTCTTAAGGGAGAAGGCAAATGTTGTAGAGGCTCTGCATAGTCAATTTTTGATCGATCTCCCATAAAGTATTTTAAAAGATGCAGCAGAAGGAAAATATTTGGATATTGTCTGGATATCATTCACGTACACTTGCTGGGAACTGGACAAGGCTGCATGTACCTTTTAACTTCATTACCTCTTCTAATCTAACCTAACAGCCAAGTATTCCCCTAAAGATTGTAATTTGCCTCATTTCTGCCCTGTCCTCTCTCCTGAAGCTCTCCGCATTGAACCGTCTCATTTCTCCTGCTTACACAGGTGATTCTTACATTACTTGACCAAAAGGTTTCAGGCAGCTGGAAAAGTGTAGAGTATCTGCTTTTAAAAAAGAAGGCAGGGATGAGGGGAGTAGGGCCTGGGAATTGTGGTCCTTTCAACTTAGCATCAATTTCTAGAAAAACATCAAAATGAGTAAAATGTTTCTAAATGCTTGGAGGAGACATGAAAACAAATGGTGATCTACAGAGATGTATAAAAAACAAATGTGTCAAATCAATGTAATTTCCTGCTAAGATAAAGCCTTACAGAAGGGAAAGAAATAGCAGATGTCATATTTTGCATTACTGTAGGGCTTTTGACTCTGTTTCACATGATGTTGTGAAGAGTCTCAGAAGACGGTCATGACGTGATGGACATAAAACTAGATGTAAAACCATGTTCAGAGCATTTAAGAGTCACTATCAAAAGAAGTTATCAAGTATGGCTCGCAGAGGGCTCTCTTTGGCATTGCCTAGTACTTTCATTTGCAATTTTACTGATGAAATACAGGGGTTGCTTGTGAACTTCACAGATGACTTCAGACTGAGAGGGGATGCAGTCATGCCAGGGGCTGGGTTAGAGAAGATGATCAGTGAGTGATGCACTGTCAGTCTGCAAGAGATTTAAAAAAAAAAAAAAAAAAACAAACAACCAAACAAACAAACAAAAAACCCCAAACATATAGCTTTTATTGGAAGATATGTGTCTTTTTAGTCAATGTATTACTAAAGAACTGTGAAAGTTAACATTTAAAAATGGTAGGAAAAACATATGTGACTTTAATATTTGAAATGTCTGGTTGTTCTATGCTGTCATTTGGTAATAGAAGCTTTAATTTGTAGAATTATGTCTTCATTTATTATTCAATCATGTCTTTTTTTTTTTCTTTCTTTCTTTTTAACATTGGAGCAAGTCCAGTGAATCTTACAAAGTTCTTTACTCTCTCCTTAGAGCAGCAAACCTCTGGCTTAAGTCAACGGAGTTTTTGTCCCAGCAGGAGGGTCTACATGTGGTTGACTGTGACTTGTTCTCTGCAGAATTGCATTTCAGGGCTGTGGGCTAGATTAAGGCAAAGCGTAATAGTTAAAGCTGGACAGGCTGGCATCTATGCATTTGGTATTCATGGCACTTGTCCAGATCTGTGAGCTTGCTCTTTAGATGAATGTTGTCATCAGATGACTATAATGAGGCTGTTGGTACTGTAGTTTTGGAAGCAGTGCAGTATAAAAGTCTTCAGTCTGCTGAGAGCTAGAAATTTGGCTGATCTTCCACTTACAGTGTATAAACACATTCCTCTTCTTTTTTTTTTTCTTTTTATTTTTCCCACTTTTCTTTCTCCTCCCTTCCTTCCCCTCAAGGACATAGACTTTGGCTATATTTTTCATAACTGCGTGAAGCTTGAAATCTTAACGGATGCCTGTGCCGCCGCCGCCACCACCACCTCCTCCTCCACCGCCTCCACCACCTTCTGGAGGGCCCCCTCCACCACCACCTCTGGTAAGATTGATTTTTCATCTCTATTAGCAAAAGCTTAGCTATAACAGCCAGCTCAGAGCCCCCAGAATTTTGGTGTCGATATTCATAGCAAATATCTGAGGAAGATAGTTGTTTTTCTGCCTTTTGTTCTTCTGTTCATTAGAGAAGTGGTCTCCAAAGTGGGGTGCGTGAGATAATCCATTGGGGTGCAGGAAGAAAATATTAGAACTTCAGTCATACATGTATATAATTTATAAATACATAAATATATGTATATTGGGGTGCATGCTCAAAAATATTTTTGCTGCTATGGGTGCGGGATCAAAAAGTTTGGAGATTATTGCATTAGAGTGCATGTGGTGAGAATTTAGCATTTGTGAATACTTCTCCAGCCACAGGGAACTCATTTCTGTATTGGTGATGTGCGGGTGGTAAGTGTTAATTTCTTCATCCTCTTTCTTACAGCTTCTATTAAGACTCACAGTGTTCAGCTGTAGGTGTTGCTCTTTCTAGCACATGCTGTCTTCCTGGGGATATAGCACAATATGCTTTTATACATGTGCAGGAACAATTACGGCTTGTAACAGATCATTACTCTCTGTGTCATGAAGTAGAACATGTGCCCTGCCAGCATGTTTGCAATCAGAGGAGGATGCTCTGAGTGGAGTTTCAGGGTATTACATTTTCATACCTTCACAATCAATTATTGTACCTGTGATAAAACATGTTTAAGTCATTCCTTGTATTCTGCAATCATTTGTTCATAGCCTGTTTCTGCATTGAAATTCTTAGACCGTTTTTGAAATAGTGAAACCTGGCATGGTTGTGTTCAAGACACAAAATCTCCCCTGACTTTTTTTTCCATATATTTTTCTGTCACTGCTGTACTTATTTGCAGTGTATATTAGTCCTTGTAGGAAAACAGTATGTGGTACTTAAAAAAAAAAAAAAAAATTCTTTTAAGAACTTTATTTCTCCCTTGCATTCTCTGGCATCTCTGCCTGTTTTGTTCCCATGAAGGTTTGTTGATTTTGTTTGATAATGTTCTTATGTTATCTTCTTCCAGAAGGAGGTTTCCTTGCATGTTTCTCTCTGCTACTTTGCAGGCTGAACCCTTTTGTAAAACTCTCTGTGAATTGTGGAGATGAAGAGGAGGAAGATAAAGCCAGCACATGAAATAAGCAGTGCTTGATTCCTTTTATCATTCTAAGTTTGGGCACCATGAGCAGTGTTTTCAATTAGCAGCTCTTCTGGGTTGGTACACAACCTATAGTTAGATACTGAAATTAGTGGGCTGAATTTTGTGAGCAACTTAATGCCCACAACTGCAATTAAAGTCAACATGGTGCAAGTGTTCTTATCGTAATAAATTTAGCTCAGCAAGTACCTAGAGACATTTTTAGACCCCTCTAACATATGCCAATTGTAAAAGACTAGAGAAAGATAAGAGGACCCCTAAGGACCAGTATGATCAAGTTTGGTTTTTTGTTTCCCCTCCTTTTCTGATGACTAAAACCACTACTATGATAGGGTTTTGATACAAGAAGGCTTATACTGTATTTCCATATTTTAGTTAAATCATTCTATTTCAAATGTGATCTTCTGTGCTAAGACATACAGAATTTAGGGTCAGTTTTATCTTGGTGATGTGATACAAACTAAACTTATTTCTAATTAATGTCTGATATTAAAGGCTTCCAAGTGTTGACACTGAAAAAAGCACATGAACCAACATAAAGAATTAGTAAAATAATGTGACAGAACGTTGTTTTTTCTGTAACAGCAAAAGGATTTTTCCCTATCAAAACTGGATCAGAGAGGGCTAACTTTGAGAGGATCTGTAGTCTGCCTGGTGAGTTCAGCAAAAGTGCAGTATGAGAGAGGGTCAGCTTTCCAGTTGGTGCCAAGTTGCAGAGTAAAATCTTATAATTGGGGAATCCGTGAAAACTTGCTACAAACCCTATTTTCTTTTACTAGGAAGCTATTTTCTAGAACTTGGCATCTGTCTTTTACAGCTGCTAAACTGCCCAGCTGTTGTTACAGCTGCTAAATCTACAGTTGGAGGATGGAAGAAGAAAAATTCTAACAGGCACGTAGGTTTAAGGAAAACCTTCAAAACAAATAAGTTTTATTTGGCCAACACCTGGAAATGTTCCAAAGTAAACAGCACTGTGATTTTTATTATGCTGATATAATTAAACCAGAGTAACGTTTACATGTTAGGAAATAAATGTTAGGTTTTAAATGTGGTATTGATATGCAGGCGATCCACCAGTTTAACTTACTTGATTTAGGTTGAAAGAGAAATGTCTGTGTGTAGGTTGAGGTTTTAGAATCCTGTCTTTTTGCATGATACTAATGCATGGGTACCATAGACTTGTCTTGCTTTTCTGATTATGTGGATAATAGCCATACTTTCCTCTTGCTTTCGTTATTAAGAGATTTTTAGCAGAAATAGTCACTACATTACCTTTTTTTTCTGCACATTTTCTTAGTGAATATTATGAGCCATGGTCCCAAATGATTTTGCAGTCCTTACTTCATTGAAATCCTGAGCACTGTTGGCACTTGACTTTTTCTGTACTATCAAGTCCCTCTTAAGGCTGAAGAAAGTTAGGTTCTTTGCTACTATTTCAAAGATTTTGGACTTGCAGATATTCTGTAAGTTTTTGTACTGAGTTCTGCTCACAAAAGTTGTTGTAAGGCAATACTAAAGTGATTTGGAGATGGTATTTAAGACATGCTAGGAGCCACCTGTGCCCAACAGCTGAAAAGCTACTGGCTGCTAGTGTGTATGTAAAATGAAGTGGATTTTTCAGGAGGGAATGGTAGGGTATCTGCAATAGCAGATGTAGGTGGGTAAGTCAAAATGTAAATATAGCTAATTGGATTAATTGAGCGTGTCTTCAAATGCCTGCCTTCTGGGGGTCATAGATAAAGATGAGAGGGATGAGTAGGCAGAATAAAACTGTGCCCCAACGTATTTTCTGGCACTGGCTTACAGAATTCCGATCCTTTCTCTTTCC